GGCACTCCGGTAAGATAAAGAAGGCGAAAGAGGGAGTTTGTCCAAGTGGGAATGAACGAGTCGAGGGAGATTCCACTGCTACTAACTGAAAGGGACGAGAAGGAGAAAGGTGTGGAAGTAACACTCTATTGGCATTGGGAAGGTTATTTACATCAGGGCTGGTCTGGACTCTGTCCGCTTCCCGTAATGAGAGTGGATTTGTGTGCACAGATCCTTCACGCTGCACTGCCAAGCTACTGTAGGAGGATCTGTCACACTGTATGATCAAGACTGGTTGTATTTTATTGAAAACTAAAAATGAAAAAAAAAAAAAGAATACCATTTTAATTTTTATATAGGTCTTTGCTTGGTCAAGAGTCTGTTAGACCATATTCAACAATGTGCTCTCCTCCTTTCTCTGCGTGCAAAAGTGGTTTAATATGGGAATGGTTTTTGGGTTATCCAATTTCATTCATGATAATAAAGTTTAAGTAGAATGAATACAGTGTTTTAAAATTGTTGATGAATCGATCAAATTACTGCAGCAATATGCTCCTGATCTGCTAAGAATATTTCAATCTGTTTCTAACCACTTCTAATTGGACTGTGGACTGTGGGAGGAAACCAGAGTACTCACAGAGTAACAGCACTAAAGTTTTCAAATTCCTCCTCTGGTCTGCTCTCAAATCACAATGTTCTGAATTTTTTTTGACTGAAAACATCCGACTTGTTTCTTTAACATGTTTTTAGAAAATTCTCATGGGAGTGCAATGATGATTCTTGTCTGCATTTTATTCTCTAATTTCTATTTGGTTTAAAAATCAGTCATTTCTTCTTTCATGACTCGTAGTCAAATAATGTCCTTGTCAAGAGAACACATATTGAAATTACAGAAGAACACATGTTCTCACTTTGCGAAACTGGACATTCCTGTGTTGCTGCTGATGTGGTCAAAGTGTTATTGTGCTTCTGTTCCTGCAGTATGACCTTCTTTTTTGAGAGGACAATAATGAATTAAAAGGACACAACATGTTGATGTATTACCTGCTTCTGAACTTGTTGCATAGTGGTGAAGTGTGTGGTGAGATGCATGAGTAGCTGAAGGGTGAGGTGTGTCACTGGTAGGGTGTCCTGAGGTAGACTGTATTCTTATTCTTATTCTGTAAATCAGTTTCTTTTCTGGTCATCTGTGTAAAATCTGTCAAACTCTTGGGTCTTATTCACTTTAAGTTAAGTTTTATTAACTTTTAAGTTTCTTTAAGGGTTAAGTTTCTCTTTTCTCTGTTATGATGTGGTGACCATTATTTCTTCATGCTTCATGCACAACCATTGTTTCAGAGAAACTTCTTTCTGCAGTAATGCTCACTATATTGATGTTTCTCTTCAGTCATGTTTTGAAGAAGGAAATCATTCAGAGATTTCGAAAATCATACATCATAAAAATTTGGAAATGACTGTGCTACAATTTTTAAGCCTTCACAAACTTAATCAAGCTTTGTCACACAGAGAACAAGACGTTTCTCATTTTCCTTTCTTCTGATAAGATAGCTCTCTTTTACCTTTCCTATTTTCTCCGTTCCTACCTCTTGTTTACAGGGGCTGTAGTTGGAACAGCCAGGGATCTGCAGGCATGTGTCCAGTGTGAGGCCCCAGTCCAGGGAAGCAGGCTTTTGCTGGATCAGTTGATGGGTGGAGGTGAATTTGGACAGTAGAACTTTAATTGAAGTACAAATAATCACTCTGATAGCAAAGAATGACATTAAATTAAATCTATTGAACTAAATCCATTCATTTTCTTACTGCCTCCTCCAATTCAGGGTCACAGGGAATCATCAAACTCCAATACTTACTAATTATAACACAGAAGTAGCCTTATGATTCA